TATTATTATTATTATTATTACCTCCCTTGAAAAGAGGAGTGACATTAGCTAACTTCCAATCCTCTGGCACCTGCCCACTATTCAAAGACTTACATAGAATAGTAGCAAGTGGCTCACATATCCAATCCTTAATCTCCTTTAAAGCCATTGGGAAAATATCATCTGGCCCAGGAGCCTTATCATTCTTTAAACTTTCCAATTTTTTCTTAATACATTCAGAATTAATGCAGTCATGTTATTCGATCTTGTTTGCATCTATCAACTGGTTAAGATGTGTAATACAGCTTAAATTTTCATTAGTAAAAACTGAAGAAAAGGCAAAATTTAATAACCCAGCCATCTTATAATCATCAGATATGAGCCTTTTTTTATCATCCCTCAAGGATCCTACCCCCATCATAATATTTTGTTTTCCCTTAATGTATTAAAAGAAATCCTTACTGATAATTTTTACATTTTCAGCCAACCTTTTCTCATACATCATTTTGATGTCCTAATTTTCTGTTTTACCAACTTTCTTGATCTTCTAAATCTCTCATCATACCAGTCAATTTAAGTTGTTTAAATTTATGATGCTTTTCTTTAATTTTATCTGTTATATGCTTTGTGAGCCAACCTGGTTTTTTTACTTGTAGCTACCATTTTCTTTCTATAAGGAATATGTTTACCTTGAATATTTAAAAATTTATCTGATCAGTGTCTTCAAATAACTCAGCTGCCCAATTCATGACAGAAAATTCCTCTCACATTCCTTCAAAGTGTTTTTTTGAAATTTGTAACCAAAATATCATTATTCTTTATCTCGATATGCAGGTAAACATTGAACCTAATAGAGGAATGATCACTTGCACCCAGATGTTCCCCAATTTCCACCCTCTCGATCATTTCTACATTTGAAGCTAACAATAAATCTAAAATAGCATTGTTTCTAGTAGGTTCCTTGACTAATTGGTGAAGAAAGCCATCTTGAACAGTTTCCAAAACTTTTCTCCCTCATGGTTTGACTGTAGCATTTCCCAATCTATATGACTGAAATTAAAATCACCCATAATTATGACTTTCATTAACAGCTGAAATCTTAATGTCATTGTAAGGTTTCTCTCTAATTTCATCAGTATCATCTGGTGGTCTGTAACAAGTTCCCACTAAAATCATTTTCCCTTTATATCCGCTAATAGAAACCCAAATGTATTTAATCTCCTTGCTATTATCTTTGATATTTTCAAATTCAACAAGATGTAACTCACATTTTACATAAAGCCACTCCTCCCCCTCTATCTCTATTAAATAGCCTGTAACCCTGTATTTCAAAAAAAAATTCTGTCAACAAAATCATCTACATTTAACCATGTTTCATTTATTCCTGTTATATCAAAATCCTCTATTTCTACCAGTGCTCTAAAGTCATCTATTTATTTCTTATACTTCTAGCATTACAATAGTAACGACCAATCCTACCCTTATAACTATTTCTATACTTATTTCTTATGATAAAACTTTTCTGTGCCTTTTATTCTTTTTGTGTTTAGTTTGTCCTGGCCCTCACCACTACCTAGTCCTAGTTTAAAGCTTCCCTTACGGCTGAGTTAATAGCTGTAGCAAACAAGCCACCCACTATCCTATTTAAATGCAAACCACCCATTCCAAAAAGCTCACTTCTTCCATTGAACTTATCCCACAAGTTCAACCAGCCAATTCTGTTCATCCTTGCATACAACCTAAGCCTAGCATTTAGCCCTAGTGATCTACTTATATAATAATCTAATTAGCATAATCTAATCCTTTTCTCTCTATTTACCCACCAGACTATCTTATCCACATGCCTTGTCAAGGAATCACTTATAATAATAGCCTCCTTATTATCCACATCCTTCTCTGACCCTTTTGCTTTCCTTCCTTCCAATAGTTCCTTGTCTGCAGAAGCCAAGGGCTAAATCTATTGCTCGATAGAATAGGCTTGTTACAATTAAATTCACTACTATTAGCTTTAATATTAATCTTTCTAACTTCCTGAAAGTCATTGTTAGCTGGTGTATTCCTTGCATGTAAGAGCTTAAACTGTTATTGAAATCCTGCTGCCATTTCCCACAGTTTACCCTTCTCTTTATCTATTGGCTCTACTATAATTATGATAGCCTCCAACTTCTCCTCCAACCTACAAACTCTACATACAAATTGCACATCTCTACTAGCTTCCTTAAAAGTACATACTAGTCCAGAGTTCCCAAATACAACCCACTCATTGCACCCATCACACCTAACAAACTGTGAATACATAAGTTCAACACTTTGCATTTATAGTCTGGAAATAAATACTAAATGTAAACACCAATAGCCTATTGCTGACACTGTTATTGTTAAGCCTAACGTTTTAGAATCAAATATATTACAGTTTATCACTACTTTATGTTCACATTAAATTAATTAAGTTTATCTTTAATTTTATAGTCTTTACTTTATTTGATTTTTAGGTAATATTAATGGTAATAATACAATATATTTAGCCTGATTTATAACCTACCTATATTGCTATAAACTGAATTTAAACTAATTGATCTAAACTAAACCCAAGTAAACAATATAATCCTTAAAACATGAAGAGACAATTAACTAGTCTTTAGATTATATTTGTTTTATAAAACAAAGTATTTAATCTGTTTTACGATTTACCAGTAAAATGAATTACAGCTAAGTCTGGAAGTACAATTACACATTCTAAGCCTAATCTAATGTTGTAGTACAGATTATACCACTAAGGTATTATTTAAAACTTTAACCTTACTATTTGTATTTACCAATCTTACTAAATCTAGTTAATTTTTTGTCATTCAACCCAAAGTACTACAAATGATAATATTAATATTAAATAATATTCAAAAATCCATCACAGTATAACATATGATCTTTCCAACATTTGATAAATCTTAGCTAACTTGGTATTAGAAACAAGCAGAATACTTACCACACTTTGAACATTGATCAGACATCACAAAAGAAAGAATTTCAATGTCTGTATTTTCCAAGAGAGGGAACACTGGCATGTTTTCGTGTACATTATTAGAAGTTAAGTCTGCGTTGGCACTTGCTGAAGTATCTGAAATAACTAATGTACTGTTCTGACCCCCAGCTAAAGCTGGTTCATTTATCTGACTATCAAAAACAACCTGGCTAGTGGATGAGGCTGGTATGACTGAATGATATGTTTCTGGTTCAGATGCAGAGCTATAGACAGAAGCCACAGAGCTCCGTCGGTCGTCAAAGGGATACTCAACTTCTGGTACATCAGCAGAATACAAACTTAAGTCACCATCATGTGAAGAACATTTCTCATAGTCACTTTCTTCACTCTGAATCGAAACGTTTGAACATCTTTGAGTTTGAAGATAGGACACTGGTGGTGATGTCCACATAGGAAATGTTGATTGTGAGTGCTTTACCTCGTAAGTACTGTTCAGCTTGGGTGAGACATTCTCACACGTTGAACCTGTGTTCTCATTCCCACCTTCACTGGATATATTTGGCTTCCATTCAAGAATAAAAGTTTTTTCAGAAACTTCCTCAAAGGCTTCTTTACTGGTTATAGTTTTTGGAGCATGTCCTTTCAAAGTTGAGGAAGTAACAGGATATGATGAATTGGTCAAAGCAGCATGAAGGGCAGGAAAGTTTTGACCAAGGTTGTATTGTCCTCCTTCGAGGTCATTTTCGTCTTTATCACTGGATGTTAGCTCTGCCTTTACAGCTGATGAACTACATTCATTGTCACACGTGCTGTGCGTTAATTCATCTTGAACAGGATGAGAAGATTTTAATTTCTCAAAGACATCCTTAACTTCCTGCATATGGTGGAAGTCACCAGACTGGGCTGACTGAATGGACTGGAAAAGAAAACTTCTCATTCTGCCATTGATATGAGGCATATATCTGTTGGTAAACTCCTGGAGCTCATGCTTACCGTCCTCCTCACTAAATAAAAAACAATGGGAATGACCTGAGATACACAATAACTTGTTCAATACATCTTATTAGTAAGATACTTCAGAATGAGTTTTACTGATTTGAATTAAAAAAGCTCATTAGTAACTTACCTGAAAACATGATTCACACAAACAAAGTGGTCTATTAGAAGCCCGTTAGTAACTTACCTGAGAACATGAATCACACATACGAAGTGGTCTATTAGAAGCCTGTTAGTAACTTAACTGAGAACATGATTCACACATACGAAGTGGTCTATTAGAAGCCCGTTAGTAACTTAACTGAGAACATGATTCACACATACGAAGTGGTCTATTAGAAGCCCATTAGTAACTTAACTGAGAACATGATTCATACATATGAAGTGGTCTATTAGAAGCCCGTTAGCAATTTAACTGAGAACATGATTCACACAAACAAAGTGGTCTATTAGAAGCCCGTTAGTAACTTACCTGAGAACATGAATCACACATACGAAGTGGTCTATTAGAAGCCCATTAGTAACTTAACTGAGAACATGATTCACACATATGAAGTGGTCTATTAGAAGCCTGTTAGCAATTTAACTGAGAACATGATTCACACATACGAAGTGGTCTATTAGAAGCCCATTAGTAACTTAACTGAGAACATGATTCACACATATGCAGTGGTCTATTAGAAGCCCATTAGTAACTTACCTGAGAACATGATTCACACATATGAAGTGGTCTATTTGGCCTGAAGAGTTATCATATTTCAATTCTCCAAAGCTCTTTAGGTACACCCAAGAATGGTTTCTGGTCTTGAGTCTATACACAATTGTAGTCTGTTCTCCAGAAGTTGAAAACACTAAAGTGATGAAAACCACACACAAAACTGAGATCCTAGCACTATCAAAAAATATCCCAATAATTATAGTAAATTTAATATCAATAAATCTGCTGATAATAATGAATACTCAATGTACAATGTAACGTGCTGTAATTTTACACTTTTCTATAAGTATATTTTACACTGAAATTAATAAATACAATTTAAGACATTAACTGTATCTAGATTTTGACTTACTCAAATTATAGTGACTGAATAGCACATGAAAAAAACAATATATATATAATAGAAATGATGTAACACTAAGAATATTCAAAAACTGGAGAACAGTTAAATATTTACTTTTAAGATGAGTTTTATAAGCAATTATATAAAATTCAGTGCTATATTACTTTTATTGAATGATTTCTTTATGTTACAAAGGTTTATGTTTACAAGAAACAAAAATAGGATTATAAGAAACATTTCAAAAATTTCAATAACAGGAAGCCTAATATGGTCAAAACACATTCACTACAAAATAGTAATATTCCAAAAATCTTAAACTATTCCCAAATCTTCAAGAAAAAAAAAACGTTATTCATATTTACAGAAACAAACTAGTCTGTTGCCTTATCTTGTTGCCATTAGAATAACATGTCATACATTATAAAATTGAAAAAACCGATTTCTACAATATAAAATGTATAACTCACAAAGTGATTATCATACAAACTAGCTGGGCAACATTGCAATTATCAAGTAACATGCTTACCAAATACTTAAATTATGGGCAGATGAGATTACAAATATTATTTAGTACCATGGTTACCAAATATTCAAGTAATGGGTAGGTAAAATGGCAAGTTTCTGCCGTAACGTGGTTACTGTATAGTTAAATAATGGATTGGTATAACAAGAAGTTTCTTTTGGTAACATGGTTACCATATATTCAAGTAATGGGTAGGTAAAATGGCAAGTTTTTGCAGTAACGTGGTTACTGTATAGTTAAATAATGGATTGGTATAACAAGAAGTTTCTTTTGGTAAATGGTTACCATATATTCAAGTAATGGGTAGGTAAAATGGCAAGTTTTTGCAGTAACGTGGTTACCGTATATTTAAATAATAGATTGGTATAACAAGAAGTTTCTTTTGGTAAATGGTTACCATATATTTAAATAATGGGTAGGTAGAACAAGAAATTTCTTTCAGTAACATGGTCAGAACTAATGATTAATCACAGAAGATAACTCTTTTTAAATCATAAATATGAAAGTTAGCAACTGCTGTATCTGTCTTATGGGTTCCCAGTTAAGTTTATCTTTTATGCTTTATTACCTCAGTGACAGGTCAAGGCCCTAAAAATTAGCCATTGCTAATTTACATATAAAGTGACCACTGCTGAAGTCATGTAACATTCTTTGGGTCAAGAATAAACCAATTCAGGGGTGAAATTATCAACGAAAAAAAAGTAGAGGTACTCAGCTGAGTGAAGTCGACCTGGTTTTGAAGAGAAAAAAAACATCTACGTGTAAACATAAAAAAAAATGACAATTTGAGTGTCAATGAATAAATGCTTTCTGACAGAACAATGGAATGCATGTGCATCCAGCAAAAGCAGTTCAAATAAGTCATGGTACTAGTACCACCTTAAAAAATAAGTTCCAGTATGCAGTACTGGTTAGCACTGGCAGAATTTCACTCCTGAACCAACTTATCTTCTGTTCCGAGTTATAATTGCAACATTTTTTCTTAGAACTCTACAAAGTGCATCTCAAGGAACCAATAGAATGAGATGACACAGAGTAGGAGAAATGATCAGTAGAGAATAATAACATATCACCTTTATCTTCAAAGTATCCAAAAGTTTCAAAACACCTACTATTTGAAACTTTTAAAATATTTTCTTATTTTACTTTATCAGTGAGTATGGAATGTTCCTCCCCAAGTTATTTACAATCAGTGTTGTGTGACTTAATATCAAACATGTTTCTTCTTTTCCATCACAAGTAAATTTTCGTTACTAATTTTTCAATTTCTTGTTTGTTCCATTTAAAACAAAAAAAAAGACCTACACATTATTTTCAGCTTTACTTTCCCCTAATCTTTATTGTAACGTATGCTAACTGAATAAACTGGTAATAATTTTGTTTAAATTTTTATAAATTCGATTTATTTAAAATTAGTCAAATACATAACACTACGTAATATCCGTAAAATTTTATGGTGAGAATTGTTATTCAAGGATTAAGGAATGTATCATTGCATTTTATTTCATCATTAGTGAGTGTTATGTTATTATATGATTCAAGAAAGTAGCTTTTTTATTGTCTAATTATTAGTGAGAGTTGTATTTTTATGCATTTGTGAAGGCAGCTTTCCTTTTTACTTAGTCACTATATGTGTTGTGGCTTTATAGAATACAGGAAAACAACTTTTATCTTTATTTAGTCAGCAGTGGATGTTGTAATATTACAGGTATCATGAAGGCAGCTTTCCTTTTTACTTAATCACTATATGTGTTGTGGCTTTATAGAATACAGGAAAACAACTTTTATGTTTATTTAGTCAGCAGTGGATGTTGTAATATTACAGGTATCATGAAGGCAGCTTTCCTTTTTACTTAATCAC